TTGATGATCTGCTCAGGTCCCTTCTGACCCTACCTACTAGGAAACTATAAAAAAGGTCTGATACTTTTGTTTCTTTCTCCTCATTCTTCCATAATCAATGTTGCTAAAAGGTTGCATAGAGCTGTGTTAACTCCTACTAACCATTCAAAGTACAGAATCTGTTTTTACACAGCAAAATTATATTGTGTTTATTCATAGTCCCCATATGTTATAGCTTCCAACCAAGAACAGTAACATGCAATGAGATTACTAAAACATGTGATACATAGCACATGTTCAAGCTGTAATATTCTTTTTTTGCTTTATCTAATGGGTCAATCAGTTTTGGAACAAGTTTTCAATTCTCTCTCTAGAAGGGCACTGCTACACATTTTAAAGGAGGCCATCCTTCATTCTGATACTTTATATAGTTAAAGAAAAATGGTAAAGACTCCTTATAATGTAATTAGTATAAAAAGAAGTCAGAAGAGCAAGAGTCTGGTTGACCATAATGAATTAAGTTTCCCACATACTGGAAGACTTGTCAGTTAATTCCACCATAATTAATTCTCTATTACCACCCCTTTTTGAGTTACATTTTTAAAAGAAAAGCTCAAGACTGGCGGTTACTCCATACTGTCACTCTTATTCAGTATGATTCTGTATACAACTTATTTTAAGAGCAATAAGAAATACAGCCTTTTCCATGTAACTAAAACTTTAAATTATGTTCATAATGCTTCAGTCCTAGTAAAATGGTGGGACTTTTACATAAAAATTAAAACATTTATAAATCACACAAGGAAGCGTACACACATTTGTTCTCAGTGTACTTCTGTAAAAGTTACCACATTCAGAGTATATTACCATCATTCATATTCATAAATACTTTGATGCTTAGAGATTGTAAAAAGATGCCAGCCACTCCAGGAAACTCACCACCTTAGTTACTCACTGATCAGGCAAAGCAATGACGAAGCAAACTTCCTCACATGGCACCTCTACAAGATAGATCTATACAGAAGAGGGTCTGTTCAGCTCCCAGCTCCATTATACCACAGGTTTCCCAGTTACGTCTACCCACAAGGTTCTAGGTATGATTAGTTCACGATGAACAATTAATTTCTTAATGTATGGCTTTTAAGCCAGATACTGACAGAACACCTGATTGGGTTAAAGAAAATCTTTACAGGCATTGTGCTGTTTTTCTTAGTGGAGGAGAACCAGCTTAGGCTGAAAGCTGTCAATCAGAATGGATATATATAAAGAAGAAGCACAAGGCACCTTAAGTTCTTGGCTGCTGAAGCAGCCAACCATTTGTCTCTCTAAAACTGGTCCACATTAGCTTAGAGCTGCTTGTGTCTGACATAGTCATTTGGTCCTCAGTCCTTTTTCAGCTGACCGTGGAAGTAATCCATGGACTGATAGGCTCCAAAGTAGTCTTCCCAGAGAAATATTGTTTTTGTAGGCAGAATCCTGAGGGAAATGAAAGGAAAAAGCAAAACAGCAAGATATTTGTATAAAGTCTTACAACTCACAAGGACCACTCACCTGACTAACCCCATGAGAAGTAGAAGTGCCTCATGGTTTTAAGAATTCTGGAAAAATAAGAGTCTGAACAGTATCCACATGAGGTAACAAGTATTTCCAATTTAACAAAGAATTGGCAACAGAGAGGGTGGTCTCTGGTACCATAAAAACTAGTCTGTCAGACCCAGGTTTGCACCTTGGGAACCCCAATCCCCAGTGGGGCACATTCCTTGACATACTCAGACTCTACCTGGTAACTTAGTACCCATTAAAGCTTATGTTGCTTCACCTGACATATCCTGTCATAGTTCTCTCAGCTCTTTGAAAGCCTTGCCTGAAAATCCAAGACAGAATCCTGAATTTCATGCTCCAAATCCATGCTTGTGCACCCAACCCATTCACCAGTTCCCAAAGACCTGCCTGAGTACACAGTAGTATTACTAAGGCAGTCTTCCATACAATCAAAATAGAAGGTCCTATACGATTTGCTCAGCTTAAAGGAGTTTCTCCTTAAAAGGATTTAGATACCCAGGGAATACCTTTCTATTACTACGTGCTTTGTACAAGTTACCCAGGATTATCCTGTTCAATAACCTCTCTGTAGTAACAGTTTGCCAAGGAAAGAAGTGGCCTAAAACCTCCAGGAATTAGTACATAGCTTGATTTAGAAAGAGACATGGGAAATTCTAACCCTTACTTTGTCAGAGCTATTATAACATACAGACTTCGGGGAATCATCAAATATAGTTGTTCCTGTAGAATAGCTTTGACAATAGCCTCTGCGGTATACTCTGGGTCTAGGATAGGAAGTATACGGGGAGACCTGCGGGGGGGGCAGAGGGAGAAAAAAAAATTAAAAAGAACCCCAACATATGACAACCACCACAAAAAAACCAAAACACGTTTAGAGGGAAAAAACACTTTCCCTCTGTACCTTGTTCTAAATTCCAAGATACTCAGTTGTAGCAACTTCTTTTTACGTTGCTTCAAGTTCAAAGTTTTTTTCCTGCTTTTTACTGTTTTCTCTTCATTTTCAAGTTAAAGAAGAAATATATGGATAAAAATACAAATATGACAGAGACTGGTTTGTGTGCACGTGCAAATAGAAATTATGCCAGAAAAATCCCCCTAAACTTTACTCACTTGGTTTTAATGCCATCAAACATGCCTGTATTGATGAAATATGGACACACAATGGTTGTTTTAATGCCAGTTTTCTTCAGGCCACGCATCT